AGATGGAAATTGTAGAATATACGACACAAATTATTTGCCTTATCTGCAAAACTATCAAAATAACAGTCAAATATTATACAGTATGTCTTTACTGGGTTGTTTTATTTTACATGGCAATGTAATACTTTGCATAGGCTCAATAAGAATCTATCCTCCCTACCGAGATATAATTAGATAAAACAAATTTATGGTAACCATGACCATACCAGAAATGTTTCATTTAACAGTAAATCTCACTTAATTGGGCATGACAAGCTCACAAGTATGGAACAAAGAATAACCTCCAATGTGTGGAAATAATGCTTCAAAGACCTCCCAGAATATTATCTTTGTACCAGTTCAATAGTTTGTAGAGTTTCAGTCTTAAAGTAGTATGAAATGTTATTTTCTGGAGGTCCAAGAACATTGATGAATTTGGGGATCTTGGAGTAAGAGGATACCCATACAATCATAGGTACTCCAGGTAAAATCAGTAGAGGCAAACTAAATGCTTTAGATCTGGTGGTTCCTGACCTTGGAATATCAAAACTCTTAACAGTAATAACAATATTTCTGGTAATACAGGAGTGATAGAAAAACATGTATAACTCTAGGGACTACATAAAATTAACTCTTTAATCCTAACATTATGTGGTTCTAGTTTTATTAAACATAAAACAAAAAGGTCTTTATGTGTTCACTGATGCCTCACTGTAGTTATGTAAATAAAATAGGGTAAATATAACAAAGCATCATATTAATGATACTGATAGTGAAATCAGACAATAGTGGAACAAACATATTTGGTCAAATCCACACCTTACCTGCACAAATTTGATCAAAGGTAAGGATCGAAAAAGTGAAACTGGTATTTTTTACCTCTTCCTTTGCTGACTACAGACCAGTATGATTTACATTTCTAAAAGTTTTGCATCTTCAGTTCCCAGGAATGTGTTGTTTTAATTTGTCTGATTTTTCTCAAACTATTCAAATTCAGTTAGACAATATCCATCCTGTCACTGATAAGTTTTCACAAATGCCTAGGGTACCTAACTGGTTTTCTTGGTTTCACTGGATATGGCTGGTAATTGTAGGTCTGCTTTTGTTATGTAGCTGTATTCCTAGTATGTTAATGTGTGTGCGCAATTTAATTAGTAGTTTAAAACCTATACATACTTATGTTACTCTACAAGAAGATAAGTCAAAGAAATAATCAATCTTCCTATGTTTTCTTCCGTCTGCTACTTCTATAACTTTTCTTCTTCCTTCCTAATTACAACCCTTTAGTAGAATTCGTGCCTCATATCGAAAATTACCGAGTATCATAATTCTTCCAAGTGGTAAAGATACCTCAAGACAAATGCTGGGCATAGAAGCCACAGGGTATAAATCTGCAAAGAAGTAAAAAGCTAACCTTTTCAAACAATATTGCTTCTCTCTCACTTACCAACTTTACATTTCC